CCAGAACACTTTTTTATATCTCTTTTTTGTTAGTTTCCCCTTGACTCAAGGAGGAAAGGTCCAGAAATGGAAGTCAGGAGATTCTCACAGACTCCTGCTGGGTGACTTTAAGCATATCTCACCTAAATTATCTTGGCCTCAGGTTTAACAAGAGAGTTCAATCACAATCACCATTTATATTTCACAAAATGCCCTCCCAACCACTTTTAAATGGACCAAACTCTCTAAATCAAATGAGATAACAAAGATGAAAATACTTTGAAGGGTTGAAAACACAATACACATATGAGAGATTATGTTGCACAATATTTATGATAATATTGATTCATTCTACTGATATTAATTAAGCATCCACTTGTGCCAAGCCTTATCCTACTGGATGGGGGCATAGGGATGCATTAGACACAGTCCCGGCCTGCACCCTTGCCATGTTTCTAGGAAGGGAAAAGGGCATGCTGAAAGAGGAGAAGGTGATAAAAATTATAAACAGGGCAATAAGTTGAGCAAAGAAGCCTCTTTCACTTAGAGAGGGGCTAAAGGGGATGGGGTGGGGCAAAGTAAAGTTCCAGAGAAATTGAAAATTTTTGTAAGTAGAAAAAGTGAAGTCAGTAAGGTAAACCTTGCCTCATTATGGCAGGGACTGGGCCTATCTTTTCTTCCATATTCTTAGAGCCAAATCTATTGCCTGACATCTAGGTACTTAATAAATTGAATGAGTGAATGAACAGATAATAAATCAAGAGCAGAACTGTAAGCTTGAAGCTATCCCACAAAGCTCTTTTGAGATGAGTTTAAATACTTCTCTTCCCCCAACTGTGGGAGATGCACCAATAATTCACATTAGATCCTCTCTAGAGATTACACCTTCCCAATCTCCTAGCCAATTCTGTGGCTGGCCTCTCCGTTGCTTTTGTTCCCGATTTTGAAAGTCAGTACTGTTGGAACGCAGGGATCCTCATACAAGAAGTATGCCAATTAGTTTTATCATTCATTCCCATAATCATGATGACAATGCTCTTTTTTTTTTTTTTTTAAGGCACTTGGCTGGGGATCAAAGGAGCAGGGCAAGGGTGAGATTCTGACTACTCTACTTGATCCCTGAAGGGGAACAGAGAGGCCAGACACAGGGTCTGCTGGGAGAAAGGATCTAAGGTGACTCTCAAAGTTCTGCTGCGGAACCCTGCCCAGTGTGGCTCAGTTGCTTGGAGCATTGTCTCATAAACTGAAAGTTCGCAGATTTGGTTCCTAATCAGGTTGTGGGTTCGGTAAGGCAACCAGTTGATGTTTCTCTCTCACATTGGTGTATCTCTCCCTCTCTCTACCCCTCCCTTTCCCTCTCTCTAAGATTAATAAGCATGTCTTCAGATGAAGACCAAAAAAAGCTCTAGTGGGGAGAACATGAGCTTTGAATTCAGGCAAGTTTGTGTTAAAATATAGACAGTTCCACATATTAAGTGAATGTTAAACAAGCTGTTTCACTTCTGAGCTTCTGTTTCTTCATCTATAAAATGAGGATAAAAAAAATTACCTCAAGAATTTTTAAAAGGGTGAAATAAGGTAATATGCAAATTCTCAGCACAGTGCCTGGCAGATTGATTGCTCATCAAATATTCGTTCTTCCTTTTTTCCTTTCCTGTTCATTAATTTCTGATCTCCTGCTCCCAGGAGCTCATTCTCTGTCCCAGTTTAACCACTGCTACAGGTGGGTTCTCTGATTTCATGCAGGCAGATCATGTTCTTGGTTTCTTAGTGGCACCTGCAAAAGGATTCTTTTCTCTATACAAGGTTGGCTGAAAGCCTTGCTTGGTCTATTTCCCCTGTGCCTAGAACAATGTCTCAGATGTCACCAATCCAATGAGAGGAGAGACCAGTGCCAGGAAAAAACGGAGCAAAAGTCACACTCCCAGCACAGGTTTAGATATACCCAAAAGGCTCCCACTCTTACCCTAGAAAACATGACGGAATGAGAGTAGCAGCACTTCTTCCTTCTTGGCAGGGCTGCACATTTTTTGATCATGATCAGCTTCGGGGACAGGGTGAGAAAGGTGAGGTGGAGACTACTAGCTGTCCACCAAAATCCATTTGTTTCTTCCATAGTAATAGACACTTGGCTGGAACATGACTACCCAGATGGGACCCTCATTTGCCAGTGTCCCTCGCAGTCAGTTGTGGCCATGTTACATTTATCCATGGACATGAGCAGCAGGCTTGTATGCCGCTTTTGCCTTGCTTGTTTAAGAATAAATCTCTGCCCCTGGATTTCTGTTCTTTCTCTCTCCTTACTAATTAGAAATACTTCCGCCATAATAAACTTGGAAGCTACATGCTGGGGATGGTAATCATTGTCCTGGGTCCCTGAATGAATAGAGCAGAGCTATCCACATACTTGGAACACTGTCTTGGACCCTATTACATACATGTTGAGGATGGTAATTACTGTCCTGTCTGGTGTGGCTCAGTGGGTTGGGCATCATCCCGCAAAGCAAAAGGTTGTGGGTTTGATTCCTCATCAGGTCAGGGCATGTGCCTGGGTTATGGGTTTGGTCCCAGTTGAGGCATGTGTGAGAGGCAACCGATTGATGTTTCTTTCCCTCTCTTTCTCCCTCCCTTCTTCTCTCTCTAAAAACAAGTAAATAAAATCTTTCCAAAAAAGTGAGTTAATGTAATATGTTTAGACAACTTCCTGTTATGCAGAAAATGCTCTTAACTATTAGGACAGAGGTTTCTTTGATCTTTTTTCTTTACTTACATATTGTGTGCCTAAATGAATGCTTGGCACATAGTGGGCATTCAATAAATATCTGTGATTACTGAAGTTTGGCTTTGAGGGCTCAAGGCAATATGCTGTATCCAGCCAGCAGAGGGCAGACCCAGTGCAGGCAAAAGAACCTGTGGCTGAGGGAGGTAGAGGAGTAGCATGCCCAGACAACTGGGGTGCAGTGGGAAGGGGAGGGCTGAGGGGAGCACCCATATCACAGAATATTACAGTGATTAAAATATACCACATTAAAATCCTAGAATTTTATTAAGCCCAACTCTAAGTATGTGAAATATACTGAGCCCCTAATTTGTGAACTCGGACAGGTAATTAGTTCCAGGCCTGGAGATGCCCGGAGCTGTCCTGCTGTCTGCAACTCCTCTTTTGAGCTTGTGACTACCCCATGCTCCTCCTAATAAACCACCTTTCCTGCTTATGCTAATATATATAGAGTGTGTGTGTGTGTGTGTGTGTGTGTGTGTGTGTGTGTGTAGTCTGTAACTTGCAAGCAAAACAATTTGTGCTGTTTTATTACTAAGCCCCGTGAGTATGAGTACTGTGTAGGGGAGCGTCTCCTCCCTGGATGGGGACACTGAAATCCAGAGCGGCCACAATGGGACAGCTTTCTCTCTTCAGGGGGATGGTCTTGCTTCATTCCTGTCTCCAAGCTTCCTGTGTCTTGTTCCCTTCACTCACTCTGTCCATTTAGATCTGTCCTAGCTTTCAAATCCCAGTTCAAATTCTTTCTCTGACTCCTAGATCTATTCAATCTCATTTATCAAAAACTCTTTAAGCATCCATGTCCTGCTTATTCATTCTTACATTTGACTGCATTCCATATTTTATTTGGGATTTGGGCTTGGTGGCCTCTGAAGTCCCATCCAGCTACAGGCGTCTGAGTCTGTTGTCTTCCCATCTGTCACAGCTTCTTAAGCAGGCCTCCACCTTCTCCCTCAAGGAGAGATAAGGAAAGTCTTGAGCACAAAGTTTGCACAGATTTGCAGGGAGTGAACATAACTGCTCATGGGAGCAAATGTGTTCTGGGATCCTCCATTTAAGAAATACATGGGCATTTATTGTTATTTTTTCAAAGTTGAAGTAGCTCCCCCCTCCCTCCCATCCCTTATTATACAGGTAACATACTTATGGTCAAATAAATCAAAAAGCACATAAAATTTTAAAGTAGAAAGGGAACATCACGTACAATCCTTTTCTTCAAAGATAACTGGTATCAAAATATTCTTCCAGAGTTTCTGCTATACATAAAAATGTATGTTTCAATAGGACCTTTTGGAGACCCCATGGAGATTTCTTAAATAGAAATCAAACCAAACAGTGGGAGGTTCCAGCCTGGGATTTGTAGCTAGTAAAGTATTCACCTGCCATATTGCACATACTAGATTGAACCATATGAAACTACTGATGTACAGCTGTTTTTGACCCACACACAGAGTAATTTTATATGGTTTAACCTACTGTACACAGAGCCTAGAATGTCAGAACTAGTAGAGCTCTCGGTGACTTTCGTGTCTATTTCATTGTGTTGATGATGGAAAAGATCAAAGAGAGAAGTGTTCAGCCAGTGTCATAGCTCATATTAGTGGTAGAATCAGGACTGCTTCCCTCTCCACTGAATCAGGTAGCTGCCTTGCACACTCGGCTTCTTTTAATATAATAATCTCCTAGGTATGATGATAATCTTATAGAAGCAGATTTCAACTTGGTATCAGAACATTTCTCAAAGAACTCAATCAAAATGGAAGAGGCTGCATTCGAGGTAGTGAAGACCTCCTGGCTGGAGTCGTGGCTGGGAAGGGCTCCGTGACAACTGTGACCCGCCTGGAGAGGCACAGAAACCATTGAGCTAATGAAGCTTAGCACTCAGAGCCCTGCACAGGCGCGGCTCCTTCTTAAGGTCTTAGGAGGAGTCCCAGGACAGTATCAACATGATAATATATTTTTGTAATAGGTGCATAAGTAGGATTTTTTTTTTAATTCTCTTTTCTGCAGGAGGGCTCCCAGAATCATATAACTTTCAGGCCTGGATCCACTCCTGTGTTATAGTCTTGAAAAGCACTGGGCACGGAGACCAGAGTTCAAGTTCCGGTCATGGCACTGCTTTAGCCCAAATGGGCAGAACAGCACTTGCCCTGCTTCCCTCATAGGAGGGTAAAATCACAAATGTCAAATGGGTTGAAAACCATAAAATGTGAACAAATATAAATAAGTAACATTATACCTCTCTGTGATATGGGATAATCATTGCTGCTTCTCAGGATCATTGAAGATAATGCACACAAAATGTGTCCTCCGTACATCTTCTTATTTAATTTCCCTCTGCGAAAACTTCCTTTTCTCCTTCCTCAAGCCCCTAACCCCTAACACTCCAGCCGCTACACCAGTCATTAGGTATTTTGCTACTTCTGTATATTTGTTCATGGTTCCCACTGTCTATCAAGTCTATCTTTGCTGGAGAAAGGGATTTTTCCCCCAGAAGGCCTAGGTTTGCTCTTCTCATCCCAGCCCAATAATGACACCCCTTAGCGCTATTCCTTGTTGATCTTATACATGGGAACACTGAAGCCCAACGGGATCCATGGCCGAGTTCAGGAGGCCCCAGAAGACGATCTATCCTCAGGTCTCTTGATCTTCCGCCATCCCACGTTTCTAGCATCAGATCACAGACACACGGTTCTTGATGTACACGTGGTAGGGGTCACTGCGCTTGTCCACTTTGCGGGAGCGGGTGTATCCCAGGATGAGGCTGCCCACAGTGGCAGCAAATAGGAACATGACGAAGAGAATGTACATGTAGGAGTTGTCATCACGGCCGGGTAGGCGGGTCTGCCGCTCCGCAGTCAGGTTGTCTGGTCCTGGCCGGCAGAGCAAGTTGCTGTGAAGAGTGGCATTTAGAGCCTTCAGAACAGCATGCAGACTCTCATACCAGGTCTCAGTCCCGTTGGTGGTCTCCATAGCAACAGGGATTCAGGTGAGGAAGAATCAGACACTCTGGTGGTGACAGAAAAGAGAAAAGACAGCTTCCACTACCTGCAGCTTGAAAGACCTCCTCACCCCTTCAGACCGCAGCTAAAACCCCAACATCACAGTTCATTCTACTTGTTTACTTGTCTGTCTTCTCCATAAGACTGCAAGCTCAGTGAAGGCAGGGACTATGTCTCTGTTACTCACTGCTATATACAACCACTCAAGACAGCACTCAGTAGATGCTCAATAAGTACCTATGCAATAAAGCCTTCCTTGACCACTGTAATCCATGCTGATCTGTCCTTTCTTTGGATTCTGTAAATCACTGAGCTTTAGGCTGCAAGGAACACAGGGATATTTAATTAACTTCTTCGGTTTTACATACAGGGAAACAGGGGCCCAGAGAGCATAAGTGGCTTCACCATGATCCCAGAGAATATTTAGAAGTAGAGTTGAGACAGAGTCCAGCTTTTTGCTGGCCAGCTCCGAGTTCCTTGACTTTCATGTCAGCTCTTGGTAGGACTGGGTTGCATTATTGGAAGACAGTCCTCAGAACTCTCCTTTAGCACAGTCCCTTCTTATGCTCCACATATACCATTTAGATGTTTGGGGGTGGCTTAGATTTCACCGTGCCTGGAACCAGAGGCTGGACCATTTGACCTCTCAAGCACCCTCTGTCCTAAGCACTCAGTATTCCTAGTTATTTAGGATTCTGTTGGAAAGGATTCTGTTGGAAATTCTTTTGGAAAGGAGGTAGCTGAGGAAGCAGTTAGAGGGATAACCATATTAGATGCTAGAGCAGAGAACAGGGACGGGCCTGAGGGTGGGGAGTGACAAGGGCCCTCAGTCTGGTTTGCAGTGTTACCCTCCACAGAGAGAGAGGACACGGCACCTCAACTATCCTGCCTTCTGACACAGTTGCTGTGTTACCTGGCATATAACAGGTGACAATAAATACTTTTCCTTTTCAGAGATCCTTAGTCTATAATATCCAAAGATAGCCTTACATCCTAGTCTCTAAAAAACCATGTCATTCCCTTTAAACAAGGCTCCACATCCACTTCCTTCTGGAAACCGTCACTGAGTGCTCCCCACCCCTTAACCATATTCTACAAGCTTTATCATCTCAGCCTTCCCTTTGGCCCAGCACTTTCATATAAGGTAATGTGTGGCTGTTCTCTTGTTTTTGATAAGGGTATCAGCAGACCACATGCTCATGGTCAGCAGGGCGCTGTCTCTCCCCCGAGTCTAGGGGGCTATCCTGAGATTGGCTGGGTCTTCTCCTTCCCTGGAGGTGTACCTCCTGATACTGGCTGGGTGTTCTCCTTTCCTGAGGGGTCTCGAGCAAAGATGGCCCCTTTAGGGACTTCTCCATGGTCCAAGCGCTCAGAGTTCACTGGCTGGTTCCAGAGCCCTCCTTTATCTAGGCAGAGCTGTCAACCGACCAAAGCTAACAAGCTTGATTATTAACCATAAGGTCTCTTTCCCAGAAAAGATGACAGTTAGTTATGACCACGCTAAATTTTCCTGAACAACTCTCTAAGAATGCAGAAGTTGTGGGGAAGAAACTAAATAGCATAGCAATCACCCAGGACTGGCCCACATTTCCTGCAAGGCCCTTGGGGCCCCGTGCTATAGAGCACTTGGGCTACCTTATCTGGACGGAGGAGGGAACGAGAACAAGGGCTCGCCAAGTTAAGATGCGGAGGCATAGGTTCTCATCTATGACCCCACTTGTCAGGCAAGAAATTTGTGCCTTTTCTTTTCCCCATATGGGCCAATGGAAAGCAGGAGAAACACAGTGAAATTAATGGCTCCACTAATCATTCAGCCAGTCATCCCATACGGAGGCCGACTCCTGGGCAGGCTCAGACCCAGTCCCTGCACTTGGAAGCACATTGCCAGCTCTTCTGAAATGCAGGGGACAAAGCCAGAATATACTGGGGCTTAAAGGAAGAAGGGATGAATTTTGAACACGACTCAGAGAGTGTTCACAGTGATGGAGGCATTTTAGTAGACGCTGAAGGGTTTTTAGGAAGTGGAAAAGGCAAGAAAGGGAAATAGATTAACAAAGGCATCACAACAATAAAGCGCAAAAAATGTTTTAAAGAATGGAAAGTAGCATAAAGAGGTTAGCGTGTAAGATGCATGGGAGGACACCAAGGGATGCGGGATGGTGACGCTGGCCTGAACCAGAGCAGGGAGGGCTTTGAGTGCCAGGCTGCAGAGTGGGAACTTGACCGTGCAGTTGGGGAAGGGCCCTGAAACAGTATTTAAAAAGGGGATGTAAGGATCAGATCTGTGCTTGGATAAAACACTGGCTGTTATGTGGACTCAGCTGAGGGCGAGATTCAAGGCAGAAAGCCCAGTTACAAGGGTCTTGAAATAGTTTGCCTGGAAGACACTGAGTCCTGAGCTGGAGCCTAGGGAATGACAAGGTCGAGGCAGGGACAGATGTGAGAGGGCACATCTCAATGTGAGAGGCATTTGGGGGAGGGAATGGCTAATGCAAGGGTTTAGGGAGAAAGGGGTCTCAGCCAGTTGTACAGACAGACAGCAGGCAGATGGTGTAAGCAGCTGGAGGACACCGCTTTGAGAGAAATAAATTCCTTGCCCTGTTTAGGCTTTCGTTTTCTTATTTATCAAAAAAGATTCACATAAGAGTTGCTCAGTGGATAGAAAGTTTCAGTTCTGCAAGATGATAAAGATCTAGAAAACTATTGCACAACAACATGAATATAGTTACCACTATTGAGCTATACACTTAAAAATAGTTAACATAGTCAATTCTATGCTATATGTTTTATTTTTTACCACAATTAAAAGGACAAAAAGAGATGTTCATTCCTGCCTTGCCTCCCTCCAAGCTTGCTTGAGCATATACTTTTATTATGGTGGAGATTTTTAAAATATATATTTTAATGTAACCGTGATTTTCCATTAAAGTGAAAAATCTTTATTTTGTTTTTGTGAAGTAAATATGCACATAGAGGACCTACAATGCCTATTGGTGAAGCCTCCCTGTCCCTAGTCGCCCAGGGCTCTTTCCCAGGGCAGTCGCTGTTACCGGTTTTTTAAATCTATCTCTACGGGGATGGGAGTGGGGGTAGCTGACAGAGCAGAGGGATGGCAGCCCGAGTCTAGAAGACTCACCAAGTAGCAGGCAAATTCTCTGGCTCTGAGTTGGCTTCAGGAATCTTCTTCTGGGCGCCCCAAGGTTCCTTAGCACCTCAACCTCTTCAGGATGTCCCCAGGGTCTCAGTACTCACTTCGGCAGTTGGGAAGGCCCAGAACTGGAAGGCAGGAGAGGGAACAGAAAAGGAAGGAACCAGGCACATAGAACAAACTTCAGAACAAGGACGGATCACCCAAGGCTGGGCCCCAAGGATTTTGCAATAGCTTTGCTATGGGCTTTAACTCCCTCCTGCTTCCCCTCCCCTTCCTGCAGCAGCTGGGCCTGGTCAGCCTAGAGTTACAGTTACAGGAACTGTACAGTGGCCAAGGGACTTCTGATTGCCGTCTCCTAACTACAGGCCTGCAGTGTCTCAATTGGGTGACTTCATGAGGAAGCTCAGTTTAACATGTGGACTCCTGCTCAGGGACCAGCTAATAGTGCAGCCCCAAACATTCCCTTTTCCAAGGGTACTGGTGTCTTAGCAGGCGCCTCTGAAAGGCTGAAAGGGCCTAAGCACCAAGGGAATGATGTAAGTGGCAGAGTGGCAGCTGGCCGTTGAGTGGATATTTTACGTAGGGACAAATGATATTCCCAATTACCTATTTGGATAGACTTGGTATAATCATGGTCACAGCATCAACACTACCTGTAGCATAGCTCATTGTGAAAATTAATGCCTGGCATTAGATACCCCACAGACACGGTGGTGGTTTTATTTGTGTAGAGAAGAGGCTGGCGGGGCCGTCAGAGCCCATCCAGCCTAACCACCCTCATTTTACAATGAAGGAAATGGACACCCAAATGTCTTGGTTCAGCTGTTACTTGTGTGACTTTGGGCATGTGACTTCCCTTTTCTGGGCCCCAGCTTCTGTCAGGATCTATAAATTGAAGGGTTTTACTGTAAGGTTTTAGCCAGCTCTAACATCCCATGAGGACATGAATCACAAAAGCACACTGTGAAACTACAGCAGGCTGGAAAGGCTGGTGGGACAGGCATCCAGGGTGCTTTCTAGAGCCTCCCAATCACACGATAGGGAAGGCTGCAGACTCTTCCTTACAAATTAGGATTCTGAGCCCTGGGACTGGGTTTCACTTAATATTCCAGCCTAGATAAACTGAGAACCGAATTGCTTGACTTGTTCATTTTCCCTCTTAACAGTTCACCTGCCACAGTGACCTAGCCTGGGAAGGAGACAGAATCTGTGCAGAAAGTAGGGATACAGGGACAGTATGGGGGGACAATGTACCCTCAGACCTTCCTTTCAGGACCTCTGTGAGTAGACCTGGCTGCTTGTGGGCAGGAGAAGAGAAGAAGCCATAGTTACTTATCTTTAGCTGCTGTATTGGGGTGGGAGAGAGGCCTGTGGGCAAGGGCACCCCATCCTGTTGGGTCAGGAGAAGCGGAGAGGTGATAAAGGCACAGGTTGGTTCTCTACAACCTGCCTTTGGGTCCCCAGTTGGGGACCTGGCAGTTGGAACATTGGAATTTTGTTCCTTTCTCTGGGCTCCTTGGCTTCTCCCTTCAAGATAGTCACTGATTATGACATTCATAAAGACGAGGGAGACAGAGCTCTTGCCCTACACGCTGTTAACTTGAAGCAGGAGACAGGCCAGTTAGGAAGGAGCTGACCGAGTTTAAAGAGATTTTAAAGATCATTTAGGATCTAGATTCTAGGCTGATCTAGATTGAGATGGGAAAACTGTAGCTCAGGAAGCGAAAGTGACCATTCAAAATGACAAGGTTATAAATGGCTGAGCTCGGACAGCAACCTGGGTCTTTGGGAGTGCTGTTCGGGTGCTCTTTTCACTACCTATGGCAACATTTCTTGACAATCGAGCTGCATATTATACCACACACAGCCTCCTTGTGTCCTGCATCATCTCCTCTGACTCCATGACGATCGCTCTTTCCTGCACTGCAGATTCTCACCAATCTTAATGGAGGATCCAGTAAGGGGGTAAGTTTGGAGAAGGAATTTAATCCTCCTTTACAGCCTCTTCTCCCATGGCTGTTTCTGTTCCAGACCTACTCCTGGTACCCTGAACAAGCCAGGCACACTCTTTTACTCCACATTCTTTTGTTACTATTTCCTGCACATTAACAGATTCTCCCTGAATGTTCTTGACTTGAACTTGCCTGACCTCTGGTCTGTGGATAGATGCATACAGCTGTGAGCTGAAGGATGAACTGGGTATCTTAAAGTTGTTTGTTTGTTTTAAGATTTTATTTATTTATTTTTAGAGAGAGGAGAAGGGAGGGAGAAAGAGGGAGAGAAACACTGATGTATGGTTGTCTCTCATGTGCCCCTAACTGGTGACCTGGCCCACAACCCAGGCATGTGTCCTGACTGGGAGTCGAACCAGTGACCCTTTGGTTGGCAGGCCAGCACTCAATCCACTGAGCCACACCAGCCAAGGCTGAACAGGGTGACTTAGTGAGATTTTCTTTCAGGTTTCTCTGGGGAAAAGTAAAACACCACTACTGGTTTTCTAGTTTATCCATTGTTCTATTGCAGCTACTCTTAGAAATGAGTGCCTTAAATGCCTGGAAATGTGGTAAAGAGAGGCAGGGTAGTTGGGGAGTCATAAAAAGCATGTAGGGAATACAAAGATAACTCCTGGGATGCACCATTTTGCCACTGGTCCCTCAGAAGGTCTTGTCACCACCATGGATTGGGAGGCCAATGGATGGGAGACGAGTTGCAGGAATGGACCTTAACATATAGTTGGAAGGAGACATAGGAATAGAATCTAAGCTAGAAGGGATCTTAAATAATCATGTCATTGGTGCAACCCTCTCATTCAACCAGTGGAAAAATAGAGGGTTCCCAGCTAGGAAATCATTTGCTCAAGGTCTCATAGAAACAGGTTTCCAGTCCATAGATCTTTCCACTATAAGTTCTCTGTTGCCTGTAGGACAATCTAACCTTCTCTGATTGTCATTCAAGCTCCTTCAGATGTGCCCCTGCCTCTAATCCCATGTCACCACAGTTTTCTCCAGTGTCCTGTACCTCATTACACTGAGCTACAGGCCACTCTCAAAACATTCCTTGCACGTGCACTCCTCTTGCTTTGCTCATGCTGTTTTCTTATGCAGGAATGCCCTTCCTCTTTTCATCTGCACGGTGAACTCCTCCATCCTTCAGGGTGCAGGTCCAATGTCACCACTGTAGACCCTGTCCTGAGACACTGCTTCCCCACACTCTAGCTAGGTAGTCCCTCCTTATTGTTCATTCCTAAAATGTTTTGCATAAAACCCTGTTAGAGCATCATGCTGTACTGAAATTGTGTGTGTATCTATATAAAATCTATATATATACTGTGAGGTGTGAGGGCAGGGACCTGTCATACATTTCTTTATTCGCTGGGCCTGAGCACATAGCAGACACTGAAGAATAAATTAATCAATGTCTCTTCTTATTAGACCACCCGCCTTCAGCACACACATACACATTCATGAAAACAGCTTACATTACTTAAAAAAACAACTTCAAGGACAGGCCAAAACAGATTCCATTTGGTCTTGAAAAGGGGAGGCTCAAAGGAAAGAAATCATCTCGGCCAGGTGGGGAAGTGAGTCAGAGTAGGAAAAATTCTAAGCCTCATTTGGAAACCCAGATATTCCCTGACCTGAACTCCATTCAATCCAAAGGGCAAACATTCTTGGCCCCAAAATACTGGCAGTGGCTTTGCAACCTACTTCCCTGTGTACCTATCCAGGGTGTGGCCACACAAACCCACCCACTGCACACACACAACTCCCAGTCACCCAGCCTATGATCTTGCCTTTCAAATGTTCCTTTCGTGGTTCTAATCTTGGCTGTGTGCTTGGCTATGTGACCTTGAGCTCTGCACTAAAGTTCTCTGAAATGCATCTATGAGATGGGATGATTACTCCTGATTACCTCACATGGGAACTGGGAGAGGCATTAAAGGGGAAGGTGTTTTAGAAATTGCAAAGCATTATATAAACATAAAAGATAATGATTGGGCAGCCTGGTCACCTTGTTTCCCTACCAACCCAGCCACCCCAGTATTACCAAGAACAGCCTTTTCTATCTCCCCTCTCTGCACCCTTGGCTCTCCTACCTTCAGAAGAAACCAGAGTTTCATATTATCCTTCTTGATTCTTCAGAAGCCTTCCTTGTCTTTCATCCTCTCTGGTCAGTCCTGCAGTCTCTCTTCATTTAGGGGTACCATTCTAGAATCCTGTTGTTGATGGAGAACATGCTAGAGTGGCAATCAAGAAACCTGACCCTGTATTACCAATGTGTCTAGCCATGCATCTTAGTTAAGTTGCTTCTCTACTCTGGGCCTCATTCTTCACATCAGTAAGATGATGTTTCTTGTCTTGCCTTCTGCTTAGCAGGTATTTTTCAGGTTGTGGATAGAAATGTGTTTTGAGATGTGTGGCGTGAGTGAGGATGAAGATCGTCGCTGTCTCAAGGAGTCAAGAAAATGTGAAAGCTCCAGCATTGGGTCTCCTTCATTTGGAGAGACAGAGCAGCTGGGTGCAGGGGGGGATCTCACACATTTACAACGCACCTGAAAGCACTCAACTCGGAGTGAGGAGACTTGGGTTCTTTCTGTTCCCTAGTGTGACCGTGGGCAAATCATCTCCCCCTGGAGTAGGTTGGGACGATAGGAGATACTCTGCACGGCTCTCCACACAACGGTGAAAACAGATTCCCAGGTCCAGACCCCTCTCCCTTCCTGTCACCGGGAATGCACCGGCAACAGGAGCCAGAGGTCCATTTTATGCGCGGTGATCCAAGCACAAGGCACGGAGCGGGCGGGCGATCGGCCCAGGTTTACGATCCGTAAACTAGAACTCGCCTCCTGATTCCCAGCCTAGACCTACGCTATGAGCAGCAGGAGACACTTTGGGGAGTCCCCAGGCTTTCCCCAGGGCTGGGGTGCATAGAGGCAGCGGGCACATCAACTCTGCAGAGCCAGCGGCTCCCCTCAGGCATGAAGACGCGCGGGGTCGCGGAGTGCCATTTCCGCGTGTGCACTCGCTGCGGACCCACAGGTGCTCGCTTGCATATCTGTGGATGTGGAAGAAGCTTCCGTGCCGCCCTCCACAACCCCCACGGTTTCCAGGCGGCGCGGGCCTGGAGCCCAGCTCCGCACTCCCACCAACGGCCCCAGGAACT